TCTCTCTCTCTCTCTCTCTCTCTCTCTCTCTCTCTCTCTCTCTCTCTCTCTCTCTCTCTCTCTCTCTCTCTCTCTCTCTCTCTCTCTCTCAGAGGCACACACGCCCCGCCCCTTGCTTCTCCTTCAGCTCCTCACCGTTCGTACAGCGTTCACTTGTACCTCCAACCGACTTCAAGTTGAGAAAGGAGCGGGGATCAGCCCACCCCCTCTCGACTCCCAGTCTTAAATAGGTCGGTCGACAACTGCGATCGGCTCAAAGACGGCGGCCAAGGCATGAAATAAAAAAATAAAGAAATAAAAGCTTATCTCCCCTCTTGCGCACGGCCTTTACACAGGGCCCCGTTAATTTTCTCCGCATCGTCCCAATTTTAACTGATGTCCCGAAGGACCACGGCCTCCAGGTACGGATGTCCCAGCAGTCCATGGGTGTATCCACAGGACTACCAGGTACGGATGTCCCAGCAGTCCATGGGTGTATCCACAGGACTAGGCTGCTGGCTTCCCGACAAGTCCCGATACCGGTACCCGACCCCGTCCCAACTAGAAAGATAAAAAATAGGAAAAATAAAAAATGGAACTTTTTTTTTTTTTTTTAATTCAGAGATAAAATTTAATAATAATAATTTAAAAAAAACGGTCGGGGGTCAGGACCGTTGGCACTTGGTCCTTTCTCCTGGGCCCGCGGCGGACTCCCCTCAGCAAAACCAAGGGGGATTAGCCCCGCAGGACCCTCAACCCCTCCATTTGCTCCAAGTCCGCTCCGTTGCTCACTGCTGGCCTTGATCCCAGGAACCACCTGGTAAGAGTCTAGCACTATAACCGATAGGGCTAAGCCCAAGCCTAGTTGTAGCAGGCCCAAACTTGTATATCAATGGTACTTGCGGTTACCCCGGCCTGCAGAGGTGCACTACAGTTCCCGGCTGGCTTATTTCCCGCACCCATGGCCTTAAAGGGCTGCCTCAGGGGCAGGGCTTTGCTCACCTCACCACGTACACTGCCTTACCATGCGGCAGCCGTGGCCAAGGCCCTCGCAGCGTGCCATACTCACCAAATGAGTGCCCTCCTACCCTTGTTGCCGAAAAACCCCGGCCTTCAGTTCTGGTCCGCGCCATCGTTGCCCGACTTCGGCTGCGGCTTCTAGTATTGATAACGCACGGCCAACCCCGCGCCGTGCGTAACTCTGCACGGGGTGAGCTTGAGCGTCGGCCTCTAGTAAGTCAGACGACATTCTCTTCTAGCCACAATCCTACCTAGTCAACCCTGCGCTGCCCGTAACTTTGCCCGTGCGAGCGAGGCTGCAACCGCCTCAGGGACCCTAGTGCAAATCTCACTTGTTCTACCGGCGTCGCATGGTCTTCCTCGATCAAGGTGCGGTCAAGCTAGTGCGTGCCCGCAAAGTGCACGCTCACACACTCCCTAATCAACACAAATGGGACACGCCCCTAGGTGTTGCCAGAGGCGTTCCTCCTGCGGGCTGCAAAAATGTGCCCAAATACCCTTGTAAGGGTATTCGGGCTGACAGTTTTCCGGACCTTATTAAGCGACGTCCCCGTCGCGTCGGACAATCAAGGCTATACTTAATCACATCTTGCTGACAAGGAAGCGACCAATCCTGTTGACCGGCTCGACTCTGTTCGAGGTTGTCTTATCAATCTGCTCCCGTCACGACGTTCCACTGCCAGGGTTATAACCTGGGTCTCCCACGTCCTGGCCTCGGAGCTAGGGGATACTTTGTTCCGTACTACAGCGTACTACCCGCTCCCAGGTAGTAGGTTGATAGTCCTCTCCCTTTGTCGTAGACCTCTGCCAGTTCACCGTTGGGTGTCCTATTTAGTCATCGTCCCGCGAACGGGGTCATAACTTAGGACGCGGGCCCTAACCGAGATCTCTCAAAACACAGGGCGCTTTCAACCGCCCACATGGTAGTATCTACCATCTCAATTCACACGAACGGCCATCCTGGAGTCTAACACAGTCGGCTTCTGGTCTCCATCTTGGCCCACCATGGACCGGTCGATCACGCCGAATCCACGGCCCACCGCATTGTTATGCAGCGATGGTGCCCTCGTTGGTTACGCAACGATAAGCAACTCTTCCTATCTTGGCACCCGGAAAGGGTCCTGACTCTCGACCTAATCGACCCCAATGACCTTCCCTCCAGCTAAACCTCTCCAGGCGGCCGACCCTTCAAGACTTAACCTTTGGTAAGCCATGGTCCCGCTGCCAGGTTGCGCCGGTCAGCGGCCCTCACTGGGAGTTAGGTTCTACAGTTCCAGCGATGCTAGGTATAGCCCCTTAGCTCGGCCTCACAATACGTCCCTTAGACTAACCCATCGTGGTCTGGTATTTTCTCTCACAATAATACTCAAAGGATCACGTACCACTGCCCACGGGACTACGTGGAGGGGTAGTGTCTTTCTTAATATTCCAACAAAGATCCTCAGAACTTCCACAGGGTCGTGCCTCCCTTACTTTGATCAAAAGCAGGTAAGGTCACACGTCTTTTAGGGATACTCACAATACCTTTCAAAGTTTCAGCATAACTGCCATAGATTTTCATCCACAAGTCTCACAAAATATCAGGTCTTTCATCGTCAGACTTTTACATACATACAAACATTATCATCACTTATAGCAACTCTTTTGAGTGCTCTCCCCAAATTTCATCCTTTTCAGAAAGCCCAATCGGCCATTGGACTTCTCTCTCTCTTTTCCAACCATAAAAGAAAACGCACAACTTTTAGTTGTGACCATTCCATTCATCATTATTTGGGCAGAATACATCATGTCATCATTGTCTCCAAAATCTGATAACACTTCCTTCCATTATACTCCCGGCTCCACTTGTCATGGGGACAGGGAGGCGTAAGTACAGTGGAAGAAACGCAGATCAGTTCATTCCACAATATTCATCTCACCACACCATCATCTATATGGGCAAATCCACAAACTGAGAGTCAGAGTGATACGACACACACCACATAAAGACAAGGTTTGATACTCGCGTGTACACCCAAGACATGGGGCCCCGCACTGTGCAAAGGCTCTCGTCCTTATTATAGAACTTAAAATATTATACAAGGAGTTCAGGTATCCCATAAGGAATCAAGGTAGTCAAGCGTCGAAGTATCGGAACTCGACGGTCGCTCCACACTCATGAGCGTTATTCTATAAGGACGTTAACACTCTTCATCACATTAGAGAAAAAAAAGAAAAAATCGTCAATGTCATACTCAGCGTTATCTTATATACAAGAAAAGGTTCTCAAGTCTATAACACGGCGTAACATCTCACTAAAGGCTCAGTCTACTGATGTACATGGGTCTGATCCAACCCTCCACGTATCTCTCTATATACAAGTAGTCACCAGTCTGTGAGTCAGAGAAGTCCCGCACATGTCAGACTCAGACCTTTCCGGACCTTATTGGAAAATCCTACTCCTGATCACTCATGACCTCGTACAACTGCCTATACAACTGCGCCCTTACCACATCACGAGTCTTAGGGACTTGGTTTCCATTTCTATCTCTCCATACCCCAGACGATTCCCTGATACACAATCCATTTGCCTCGTCCTTGAGGCTCTTGGGACAGTCGTCTGATCGATGTTTGCCCCTCTTGAAATAAAAGCACTTGCCAAGTTTCTTCTTGGACATCTTGTCCCCTTCCAGCGAGGCTACAGATAACGGGGTTGTTGAGATCTTGCTCGTAACCTCCTGTTGTGGGACCCCTGAGGAAGCGGGGCAGGCTGCTCTGTCATCTGCTGGCATCCCAGCTCCCCAACACGCCCCTCTAGCCCTGACCCAGTGGCCCAAGATCCCAGTACACCTCGCAAATCTGCAGTAACAGGCACCTCTTGAGGCATAGTTGACTCCTGACAACCCTCCGGGTCCACTCTCTGCTCAGTCCCGACCATGGTTTGGCCCACGCTCTCCTGACCCTCTGGCCGTCCCATAGTCTCTCCCTGTGTTGGAGGCAGAACTGCGTCCACCCCCACCACCTCCGCTGGTGGTCCCTCCTGTAGTACCGTCGGCTCGTGCCCCAGTGTCAGGCCAGCGGGTAACCTCCACTTAAACTCTCCGATTCCTGCACCTTTTCCTGCTAGCACTTCTGGCTGCTCCAACATTTCCTTGTCGATCAGAGGGACCTCCTCACCCTCCTGCTGGTCCGCCATCTCTACTTCCTTTTCCTTCTTGAAGACCTCCTTTGCAGGCTGTTCCCTGATTTCGAACCTTTGGACCTCTGTCCAATCCACCACTCTAGTGGGGGCTTGCTGGGCATACTTGGCTTCGAGGTCTCGAATTCTCTTCTCCCACTCAGTCTCCTTAACCTGGAAGAAGGTCAGTTGTGCACACAAATAGGCCCTCAGGGCGTCAGTGACCTTGTTAAGGGTCTGGTTGACTTGTCTGACGGCCTCGTTCTCTGCTGAGACCTTTTCCATGTCTGCCTTTACTGCCTCTAACTCTTTGCCCTGTCTTTCCAACTCCTTCTTCAGGTCCTCAGCTTCTCTTTCCCAGTCCACTCTCTGGCTATAAGCCTTTCGTGCCACCTTCGTCAACCTGTCCCCAATCCTCTGATCTGAGGCCTTTGCTGCAGCGAATCCTTCCTTCATCACACCCTTGAGGTTAAGTAGGTCTCTGGAGACCAACTTGACTCCCATCTCCTGGTGGTGTCCTCCAGATCTTCCCGCGGCATCCATCAACTTGTCGAAGCCCAACCAGACCTCTGAAAACAGAGGAGGGTCCTCCTCCTGAGTGCAAGTACCTTCACCCTTTCTGTCCTCCACCTTATCGGGTGCCTTTTCTTGCTGCATCCTCTCATGCAGCTCTGCCAGGTTCTTCGTCCTGAGCTAGGTTCTGATTTCCTGCTCCCTTGCTGTTCTCTCTTTCCTGTCCAATTCCTTCTCCTCAGCAGACTGAACCTCTCTCTGTTCCTGCACGTGCGGCTCCTTAGGCCTGTCCGGCTCCATACCTGGCATAGGGTGATCCACCTCCCTCTGATCAGGCTGCGGAGGTGCGCCTGAACCCCCTACTCCCTCAGCCCTCTCGTGCCTGTGGGACTTGTGTTCCTTCCTCCTCTCCTCCCTCTGAGCCTTTGATAATGTGTCCTGCTCAAAGGTTCCCCTTTCCTCTGTCTCAGGTTCCCTTCTCCTTTTTTCCACACCTCTCCTTTCACTTGCCTGACGAGCTGGAGTATAATAGTTTCATAGTAGCTTCTTGCAGTGCCCCCAGTTCATGGCAGATGCCACCATGGATCGTACGAAGGGTCTGATATGGTGTCTTACAAACAACAGGAAGCTCCCCACTCTCTGCTCTCCTGGGATACAGAGCTCATCCGCATATCGATCATAAGCCCATAAGAACTCCTCCAGATTAGTGGAGTCGAATCGAATGGGCTGTCCATCCCTTCCCAGTGGTGACGGATGCAAACCCTCCATCCTCCGTCCAAAGTCTTACCAGCTCAGCGACTCTCTGACCAGTTTAGCAATAGGGTCTGCCCACTCGCCTGTGCCTCGCACCTCTCTCAACATCCTGGTGCTATCCCATCCAAATCCTCTCTCCTGGTCCTCATCTGCGTCCTCTGTCGGGTTGCCCCCAAAGGGGTTTCCACTGGCCCTGCCCCTCCACTCCCTCTTGGCATGACTGCCCCAAGCGGTATCAAGCCTGCATAACAGGGAAGAGGCGAACAGAAGCACACAGAGGGTAAGCGATGTCAGACAAAACACAACAGGAGACAGACATAACCCTCCCACACCTATCTCAACTACCTACCTACAGACACACACGCATACATAGTCATACACACATGCAAGTCTAACCACAACCTATCACGCTATTCTACTGAGGGCAGCATCCGAAGTAATCACGAGATGACTCTAAGTGGTGAGATCCCTGCTCACCTCGTCTCGAGCCACAAACTTCTTCAGCCTCGAGCCTGACACCCAATCCTTCCATGTCGTCCCATTTAGCTCCTCAATTTGATACGCTCCGTGTTCTCCACACCTGCGGTCCTAGCCACCTCTTGTCCAACTTTCGAGACCACTGCTTTTCCAGGGATGAGTCATACAATAGTACAACATCTCCCACCTTGAGAGGCTCCTTTCTCACTCTCGCCATCTTATCCCACCGGAACTTGTCCTTGGTACGGCTGTCCGCGGTCCTACTTGCCGCTTCCTCAATCTTGTCCTCAATGACACTGATCTGCCGTGCTCTCAAATCCAGCAGCTCTTCAAGCGTCAGATCCGTCTCGAGGTCCTGCCGTCTCCAGGTCTTCAGGAAGCTTTCGATAGGAAACGTCGCATGCCTGCCGTACCATAGCGTAGCCAGTGCATAGCCAGTGCTCCTCCTGATAGTGATGTTATCCACGAAAAACGCGACCCTCAGAAAGTTTGGCCATTGGTTGGGCCTGCCATCGGTCCACTTGGCAAGAAGATTTGTAATGGTGCTATGCCCTCGCTCCACAGGTGCGTTGGCTTGGGGGTGCGCAACAGTAGTGTACTCAACGATCACCCCGTACTTCTTCAAAAGAGCCTTCATTTCTGCACATGTGAATTCGGACCCCCTATCCATCACAAACCTGGAAACAAAGGGGTAGCGAAGATAGTACTCTTCGATGCATCGGGCCAATGTCTCTCCAGTCTTCGTGCGAATGACCCTGCCATCCACAAACCCCGAGAGGTTGTCCCGTGCATCAAAGATGAAATTGTAGCTCCCTATCCCCAATGGCATTGCCAATGGATCGAAGTGCACGACTGCTCCAACCTCACGAACGTACCTTGGGTGCAGCAGCTCCCTGGGTCTGAGAGCAGACCGTTCCTGGCATGGCACGCAAGACTTACAATAGTCATCAATCATCTGCCCCATGCCATCCTAATAGTACAACTCGTGGATCTTCAGATACGTCGTATCTGCACCCCTGTGGCCACCTACCGTACCGTCGTGCAGCGCCGCCATAATGTCAATCTGATGGACGAGGCCGCAAACTACTCTTCTGGGATCTCCTCCTTTACTTCTCATAAACAGATGGCCATCTCTTACCACGAAACTTGGCCTCATCTTCAGAATCCGCGCGCAGGCATCCCTTTCCCTCATCTCGCACGAAATAAGCATGCCGAGTTCAAGGTATACTCCCTCGTATTCCTCTGCTCGAAATGCTTCTTTAATCTCACCTTCCTCAAAGTCATCATCCTCCCTCTCGTGGATCACATTGTCACCTCCTCCCGTCTCTACCACCTCTTCCTGATCTAGTACTGTATTTCTGACCGTCTCTTCCTGAAGCAGTGCATTTGTCAGCAGGTACACCCCACCTATCATCTTCTCGTGCTTACCCACCTGTAGCGCCCCATTTTCAATTGTAAGCGGGTCTTCCTGCAGCTCGTACTTGCCAGCTAAAACCAGCTCCATCATCCAACCTACGCCTGACATTCCCCAAGAATCTTCTTCAATATAGGGTTTGAGGACCAAGTCTGACCGTCGTACATGTCCCGGAGGCGCAAGCCATACAGGTTGCCCAGGAGTAACGTACTTACCTACAGCCAATGCCTAGGAGTTGATGTGAAGTCTCACATCCTCCTCGCTGTCCAAAAATCCGTCGACTGGTGGAGTATCCTCAATCACTCCCTGATGGTTTTTGTCCCAGTCGACTCGACTCAGCCCGTCCGCCCTGTTCTTGTTCCCTGAAATTCGCTCCACCTCGAAGTCAAACATCCAGATGTATGTCAGCCATCTGGCGATAGTTGGATCTGAAGGAGCGAAGTTCTTGAGAGAGCCGGCCAATGTTGTAGCGTCCACCCTTAGTACAAACCTGCTGCCGAAAAGGTAATTCCTGAAGATCCCCAAGCAATGAAGAACCGCCAAGGTCTCGCGCTTGAACTGAGAGTAGTTCCTCTCAGACGTATTGAGCGTCCGACTCTCAAACCTTAATGGTCGTTCCTCCCCGTTGGGATCTCGCTAGATTAACACACCTCCCAGAGCAGTTGGCCCTGCGTCTGTCTCTACGATGAACGGCCTGGTCATCACCGCCGCATGGTCTGGTACCCCCAGTACTAGACCTCCTTCCTCAAACTCCTTCAGGTCTTTTATCACCGACTCTTATTTGTCTCCCCATTCCCAGTCCTGTCCTTGACGCACGAGCTTTCGTAATTGCTCCGTCTTTGCTGCAAACCCCTTAATAAAGATCCTTCAAAACCCACACGTGCCCAGAAAACTTCTCACCTCCGTGATAGTCTGGAACGGTGTTGGCCATTCGAGAATCTTGTTAGTCTTCTTAGTATCCGGTCGACGACCCCTCTCGTCGCACAGATCTAGGACCTTGCACAAGTCTTGCACATGATCCCACATAAAGCGCCTGATTCCTGGCATCACCTCCTGCTCATCTTTCTTCTTCGACCCTTTCACGGCCAAATCATCAATGTAAGGCTGAGTGATGTGAGGGCTTACTGGCTGCATCGCCCTCACCATGTGCCTCTGGACCATGGCGACCGCATTCGTCCACCCCTGTGGCGCGACGTTCATGTGGATCAACCCTCGAGGGGTATGCATCGCCATCATTGGCCTGTCAGATGGGTATACAGGAAACTGGTCATAACCAGAATATAGATCTATCAGAGATATAATGGTCTTCCCTGCACATGCCTCTGAAAGCGCATCTGCGTTAGGGAGACCACCTGCGTTTCTAACAGTCACAGCATTTAGGCGCTGCAAGTCCTGTACCCACCTCAATGTCCCATTTAGCTTAATAAAGCAAAACCAGGGGGATGCATACGGCCCGCTCGAGTAGTCCGATACACGCGTGCGGATCTTCCCATCTAGGTAGTTGACTACCTTTTCCTCATCAGCTGGATTAGGATATCGTGCACCCCGCAAATTCCACGGCTTATGCGGCACGGTGTGTATCCTAATCATGGGGATTTTATCCACGTCCAGACGTCCTCTCTCGTCATCATTGAAGGCATATGCAGTGTGCTTTCGTCTTATGGTGTCCACCATAAGCTTCTCTTCCTGCGCTGTAAGGAAGCCAGACTCCCCTATAATCAGCGCCTTCTCGGTCTCCAGGTTGATACGACATGGCATACTCTCAGCATTCTCCTGCATCTGCCGTATCAATTCTCTCTCCCGCTCGTAGTATACTTCCTTTTCCTCGGCTACGAGCACTGAAACAGGGCAACACTTTTGATCTACCTTTTTGTACCGCCTTTGAGATCTCTGCTTGAGCCCACCTCTAAAAAAGGCCGAGTCGCGCTCTGAGGTTGTGCTCAACTCATTCCACCTACCTTTCCAGGCGTCCGATACACTAGTTCCATTTCTCCTGCACCCATTTGCTCCCCCACCTTCTCTCTCAAGGCCTCCACAGCCTCAGGGTCTGCCATCCTATAGGTCGATACTATATCCATAGCATCCCCTATGTTTGTCAGGTTCAATGTCAGTGTCTCCGGCTCTCTTCTCTCCTCATACTTGCTGACTCCAATCCTTAATCTTTCCTCTTCTGACTCCTCTATAGTGAAGGAACCAGGGTTGGGCCGGTTCCTTATGCTCCTAGGTCCTGTGTTCTTGCAAGTGATGACCTCATAGTTCCCACATACTGGGTCGCATAGGACGAGGAACATAGTTCCATCGTGTTTGTTGAGGATGACCGTCTCTGGCCGACTTAGGAACGATCTCCCGAGTAGAATAGGGTGGTCCAAGTCAGGCATCACAAAGAAGCAGCTCCTTACTTTCACCTTTCCAATTTCCAATATTACTGACGACGCGGTCCCAATGAATATCGATCGGCTATTGGCCCCCATCAAAACCCCGTTGTCAGAGCAGTCTATCTCCATTCCCAGCCGTACGGCATGTTCCTCCTTTATGAGGTTCATTTCCGCTCCACTGTCCACCATTGCGGTGCATGTCTTCCCTTTTACCACAACGTCGAGGCAGCCACAGGCGACAGACTTCCAGTCCATCTTAGTACCCGTCTCAGCCCACTCAGCCTCCTTAGGGATTATGGTCCCCAATCGTATGCTGGCTACCATCTTCCTGGATAGTCTCACTCTTAACTCATCCCTAAGTCTAGGCGCTGAGGCCAGGACATCCTTCAGGTTCATAAGATGATTATGACCTTCGAGTATCCTGTCCATTATCTCTTCCACATCGAAGCCTTCTTCCACCCTGACAGTGTACTTCTTCTTTCTTACTTCTTGTGCCTTGTCTGTATCACGCTTGGCACCTCTCTTTTTGGCTCGTTGTTCAGCCTTCTCATCCTCCTCTTTCCTCAACCTGTCATCCTCATTATCCTCTTCATCTGGAACGTCCACAACTTCCTTCTCTCCACTTGGTTCAGGAACATCCTTGGCTGGTTCTTCGGGAATCACTGGCCCTTTAGCCCTCGTTCTGACAGCGTACGGTGCCCTCCCCGTCCTGGAAGGTGGTCTGAAAGTCATTCCTGATCGAGGCATCGCTCCTGAGGTCGTAACGTTTGGTAGATTCCCGGATCCTCCTTGCGACCCCGGACCTAAGTCGTAGAGGTATACCGATGGCTCCTTACCTTGCCACCCCTTGACTTCTTCGCACATATCAGCCAACTTTTGTTGGTATCTCCCGACTTTGTCTATCAGGTCCTCCATTCTCTCCATTGTCTGTCGGGCCGTTCTCCAATAATCTCCCCCTGTCTCAGCATGCAGCGGCCTCTTCCAGCAATCTTCCTCAATCTCATCGTCGGACTCCACTATGATCGGTTCTATCTTAGTAGTGTCGGCCTTCCTTTCTTGCTCCACCTCTGCGTTCTCTCCTACCTCCTCCACCCTGGCGTCACTACGGACCTCTTTCTCATGCCATATCCGAAACATGGCTGGAGGTGCGGGTGGCTCACCGGCCTCAGCCCTTCGCAGGGCTTCCTTCCTCGTACCGCCTGGAATCTTTGGGTCAAGGTGGTACCCCCACTTGTTGTACATGTCTCCATCATAGTTGGTGCTAATTAAACCTTCGTCCTCTTCATTCCTCCTGACGTGGCAGAACTTAATAGTGTGGCCTTTCTGCCCACAATGCCAGCAAATGGCATTTCTCCAGTCTACTCTCCCTCTGCCAGCACCTCTTCCACCCTCTTGACCGCCTTGACTCCCGGATGCCGTCCAACCCTCGTTTCCGCCACCTGAAGTGTTACCACCACCATTCYCTCTACCATTTCCTCCACGGCCACCATTCCCCCGTCCTCGGCCCCACCCTTGGTTCTGTCCACGTCCACCCCCTTGATTGCCTTGCGAACCTTGTGGGGCTGACTGCTGGGGTTGGTTTGGCGGTGGGTTCGGGTGGCTCACTTGTTGCGCTTGGGGTCCAGAGCAGCCACAGGAAGCCGCGCTCACTGATGGTCCGGCGCACGACCCATGCGGCCCGCTCATTGGCCACGGGGCGTATGAACAATGCCCATGCCAATGACTCGAAGGTCCACAACCTAGCCATGGCCCATAGTGAGCTGGTGCAACCTGACTGGGCGGCTCAGGAGGTGGCATGGCTACAGCTTGCGGGACCTGCCCCTTTCCTGAGCCCTGCCCCCCTTGAGCCAAGTTCCTTGCCTTTCTCTGAGCCTTGGTCAAGTTCTGTGGCTCAGGCTCCTCTTCCTCTTCCTCTTCTTCTTCCTCCTGCACCACTGCTTTCTTTGCCTTCCCTTGGGTCTGTGGTGTCGCCATAGTTTTCCTTTTTGCCTCTTTCTCTGCATCGAGATGGGCCACTGCATCTTCTATCAGTTTCTTAAAGTCTCGCCCGCCGCTCGTCGTGGCGTCCTAGGTCTTTCTTTTCTTCCTAGCCTGTCGCATTTGGAAGATGTCTACTTTGTTCAGCTCTCCTTCTATTACGCCCTCCTTTATGGCGGCCCAAGTGAGCTCCTTTCCCGGCGCAGCCTTCTTGGTTAGCGACGAGGCCTCCCAATTCTTGAAGTGCCCCAAGAAAGTGGCACATTGTTCTTCTTCCGCCAATCCAGGGACTTTCTTGGCCATCTTCTCAAATGTCGTTGCGAAAGCTCCCACCGTAAAGAACTCGTCCCGCTGTAACATCTCCAAATCTGTCTTCGTTAACAAGTCATCCCCTAACTTGAACCGCCTTTGCATTTCTGCCTTGAACTTAGCCCAGTCTCCTCCTACTCCAGCAACCACCTTCATTACCTCGGGCCGAGTTTCCCACCAGACGTACCTGGGTAGGAACTTGAATTTATCTGCCTCAGGCACCTCGGCCGTAACCTGCTCCAGCATCTCCAGCCACTCGGATACTTTGTCCCCATTAAAATGGAAGATATTAACTTTCGGCACTTGAAGTCGTGCCAACTCCCTTTTCTCGATTGCCTTGACGAAATCCTCTGGCGTAGCGGCCGGGCCACGCTCGATTTCATCAGCGTCCGGCATCTTCACCTCTTTTTGCTAACCAACCTGACAGGAGTAACAAGGGATAGATCGGTAAGCAGTTCGTCGAGTTTAGAGGGTCTGCCCTACGTCCTTCTTGACCATCCTACCCTTAAGTTTAACTGACCGCTCTACCATAGTCATTTATGCCCGAGCTACAACCTTTAGTCCCACTATACACCACTTAGTCTTATTATGACTTCATATACATCCCTCTCATATAAGCCAATCCAACCTATAACCTTTCTCGTTTTGCCTAGATCATCAGCCTGCACTTAACCTGGGTTCATTCTCTTAAGGACCCCGGTAGGCAGCCGAGATCCCTGGCAACGGCGCCACCTGTCGAGCGCATCGGTCCCACACGGGGACCCTCCCGGCCGCGTCACGCAGGATTATGCAGGACTTGTCGCAGAGAGCGTTTGCCGCTCCGGCCGAGTGCGCCAGCCGTACCTCTCGCGAGCCCCTACGACAGGACAGAGTCACATGAGGCACCGCTACCTCCACCTGCGGGAGCTGTCACCATCCCTTAGGTGGGCGTATCCCTACCGAGCTACTGAACCACATGCGAAAGTTTTTCGTATGCAATTGCAGAGGTGGCCCAGCCGAGGGCGTTTCTCGCTCGCTGTAGCATAGGGGGTACGCGCGGTCGAGCGCCCGAAAATCGAACCCGTACGTGAATCGCCGTACTGGGGGCTGAAGTCCCAAACGCAATTCGGCGCCGATCGACTAGGATGCACTACACACCCACGCGTTACACTATAACACCCACGCTTACCCACGCATAACATACGGACACACACACAACAATCTCCACAAATAACACCACAACACAACAACACTCCTAGTCCCTTCAATATCCAACCCATAACTCTACGCAGTGGGAGTCGGTAACTGCCTTGCACGAGGTTTAGTATAAGATCGCACGAACGTACGACCCACGCATACCGATTTATAATGCAGTCCTACGCAGATAAAAGCGATGACGACGCATTGTATGGTGCCCATACCCGAATGGCCTATTCTGGGCCATGGGGTGGCTCCCGACGCTAAGGCATTGGCTAAAGCGCGCGGTAAGGGGAGGTAACCCTTTAGCGGGCGCAAAACCGGCCTGAGGGCCTTTCCGTCTTCTGCACCCTGAGGTGTCTCAAAGGGTGCGGGGTAAGACGGCCCCCAGGGCAGGAAGGAATTTGGAGCGGTGGTGAGTCGTCTGGCGTATCACCAGCGACACGCTAACCCTTCCGTC